TTCTTCTTCTTCTTCTTCTTCTTCTTCTTCTTCTTCTGTTTCCCTAATGCGTGCCCATTTGTCGGTCGTTGTGTCTCTGTTTGTCAGAATACAAATTTCTCCCAACTGCTTCAATTAGTCATCTCATTAAGTGCTCACCCAACATTTACTTGACATGTTGCACAAACAAGCTCATTGTATTGTTGCTCTTGAGCTATGCGCGTATCGTCTCACTTATCTGTCTGTGGGCATCTGCTCTTGGCGCAGAAAATCAAACAAATGTGATGCAGGTGCTAGTCTGACAATAAACAGGTAGGTGATTGGGTGGTCTTCGGTTGGGTGTGACCTTTTGCCTTCAATTTACTCGGGAAGAAAATTCGCAATGTCTTATCACTTATGCAGGTTATCGCTTCCCAAATGTCGAAAACGTTCCTGTTTCGCAAATTGCCGTCGGTGACTCATGATTTATGACCTCAGTTTATATCATTTTCTGGGAGGAAAACGAAAACATCAGAGTGTTCTGGTGGGCGTGCCAACATTGTCGATTATGCACATCATGCACACACTATCCAATCATTATACCACTTTTTAGCTGTCTTGGCCAGAACATCACTGTTCTCTTTTGTGCTGAAGTGCTGAAGTTAAAAACAACAAACAAAATCCAACACCCCCCCAAAAAAAACCAACCAAAAAAAAAACAAAGGAAGTGAGGACATTTTCCAATTCTATCCACATTAACACATCAATAATACTAGAAATTCCAGGCGTTTCGGTAGGAGAACGCATTATGTTTTTCTTTAAATATGTCACAATAAGGGCACTAGTTCTTGTTTGATATTGTGGACCACTGAACGTCACTTTCTCCGAAACTTCTCGTATAATCTCTTGGGGTGTTTGCACTGATTGGTGAGTCTCACTCTTACACTAAACTTATTAATTATTGTATACGTCTATCTGTAGTCTCATTTTTCTCCGCAAGCCCTCTTTTCACTCTCCCTACTCCCTTACATCTCTGGACAGCTGCCGGCCTGTTCAATACTTGAACTAGGAGTTTCTATTTAAGATAAGTCTCTCGTGGTCTTCCTCGTTTTCTTCTCCTTCACACATTTCCATAGTTAGCTTCATCCACTAGTGTGCGCTCATTATTTCGACAGACAAGTCCAAAGAATGACATTTTCTTCGTTTTCGCTGTAGTGACTTGTTCTTTTGTAACGTGTATCTTGTTTGGTATGCATCAGTGTCCGTGGTGAAATGGTCAGTTCTATATCTTTTACTTTACTTTTACTTTTGCCCTCCGCTTATACCCTTTTGGGTGTCGCGGGAAGAAAGGGGCGTCTTTCTGCCACCAGCTGGAGAGCTTGGGTCATAGTGTTTCCCTGACTCCATCTATCCAGGTCTTTCTCGGCCCCTCTCTCGCCTTGTTGTCATTGAATTTTTTTAATGTACGCACGTACTGCTGGATAGTGTGTTGGTAATCGCATGAGATGTCCGAACCATTTTGATTCTTTGGTGTTGGGTGTGATGCATAACATGTTACCACCATTTGTGCCCACCTTTTCTTATTTCTCAATAACGTCAAGAATACGAGCTCGATTCTCGAATAGGGACGGTACTTTTTTTGAAAACCTCTTTCGTTATGCTGGGATGCATCGCATAAAGTTCAGATTGGCAATGACAGCAGGTTTGGCCCAGTTCGCCACCTTGCTCACGGAAACCGTTTCAATTTCAGCTTAGAATAATTACACCACATCTATAGCAAATTGAAGCAAATTTTATCTATTGTCTCCCTTTACGACATACCGTTAGAAAACGAAACTCACAACAGCATTTGTATTTTTCGTACCTCGTCTCAGAAGTATGTACACTGTCGTCTCTGTTCTATAAAAACAGCGTACTTGCTAACGGACGGCTTAGCTCTGTTTTAATATGTATGGGAGCAAGGGAACACAAAGCTAGTTTGTTTTCCTATACCAAAACGTTTTCTATTTAGACATATGAAAACATCTGCTGGGCACGCAAAACCAAACACACGACTCTTATTTTTTTTTTGGG